AGCCAGGATGGTCTCGATCTCCTGACCTCGTGATCCACCTGCCTCGGCCTCCCAAAGTGCTGGGATTACAGGCTTGAGCCACCGCGCCCGGCCGGCAAAACCATGTCTCTACAAAAAAATAAAAAAATTAGCTAGGCGTGGTGGTGTACACTTGTAGTCCCAGCTACTTCGAAGGCTGATGTGAATCACTGGAGCCCAGGAGGTGGAAGTTGCAGTGAGCCATGATGATGTCACTGCATTCCAGCTGGGTGACAGAGGGAGACCCTATCTAAAAAAAAAAAAAAAGAAAAAAAAAATTACAATTGTTATGTTCATATTATTGTTTACAAAAATATATGGAAAAAGCCAGGGGCGGTGGCTCATGCCTGTAATCCAAGCACTTTGGGAGGCTGAAGCAAGTGTATGACCTGAGGTCAAGAGTTTGAGAGCAGCCTGCCCAACATGGCGAAACCTCATCTCTACCAGAAATACAAAAAATTAGCGGTGAACCTGTAGTCCCAGCTACTCGGGAGGCTGAGGCAGGAGAATCGCTTAAACACGGGAGGCGGAGGTTGCAGTGAGCCGAGATTGCTCCCCTGCACTCCAGCCTGGGTGACAGGAGCGAAACAACGTCTCGGAAAAAAGCGTTGCCTGGGTGAGTGAAGGAGGGAAAGCAGGGACTCAGACGTTGTGTCTGGGATGCAGGAGAGAAGATGACTGAGGAGGAGGTGGAGACTGTTCTGGCAGGACATGAGGACAGCAACGGCTGCATCAACTACGAGGGTGAGGGGCCAAAAAAGCAGGAGCGGGGCCGGGAGAGGAGGGGAGCCCGGCGTCTTGCCGCGTGTGGGCGGGGGCACCCCTGAATTACCTAGAGTCAGATGTATTATCCAGAGGCCTGCTTCTGAAGCCCCTCTTGCCTCCTCTCTTTGCAGCCTTCTTGAAACACATCCTAAGCGTCTGAGTGTTACAGGTAGGGCCTTCCCACCCCTTCACCGCGCCTTAAGAGGCAAGTCTCCCGCGCTTCTCAGCCAGCATAGAAAAGCAGCGGAGTTCGTTCTGCTGTCCGGTTGCTGCGCGGGCTCCAGCGCTTGGCAACTTTCGTTTTTTTCCACAGATCCAGTGGGGTCCGGACACTGGGCCCCGCGGGCGGAAGCACGTTCCAGCCACCAGGAGGCCACCTATTGTTTCAAAATAAAGACTGGGTTCCTCTCTTCGTTTCAGACTATTTTTTTCATGGTTCGGGGAGCAAGGGGAGACGGGGAGGGTGCTAGGAGGAGAGAGCGGGAAAAGAAGGCTCTCTCCTCTTCCAGTCCTCTAATGTTCCTGCTGTTGGGAGGCGCAGATTAATTGTGTCCCCCACCCCCCCACCCCACTCCCATCCCCGAGCGGTTCTGTGCCCAGGTAGGGCTGGAGAAAGGAACAGCGGGCCCCGCCCACGTCATTACTAATGTAGCAATCATCTGCATAAACCCAGGTCACGGTTCCTATTGGCTGAGTCCGCTGAGGGTGACGTCATTGGGACGTACTAAGACTAGGGTTGGGCCGAGAGTCGGAGCCATTACTGCAGGAAAAGGTCCCGCAGAGCTGAGCAGTCAAGATGGTGGGGCCCAGGTCCTGGGAGATGGGCAGGATTGGGGGCGAGAGGTGGGAAGAGACGGGTGGGGGGCGAGGAGAAGGCAGGGGTAGGAGGCAAAGGGAACCTGAGGACCCGAAAGGTTGGAGGTGGGGTTGGAAAGCCTGGGGCCCTATCCTGCGGGGAAGCGAGTCTGCAGCCTGAAACAGGAGTTTGTGGGGCTGGAATAGAAACTCGGGGGATTGGCGTTCAGATGCTGACCACTTCCCTCTTCTCTGAGCAGTGTGACTTCACCGAAGACCAGACCGCAGGTAGGTTATCTCTGATCCCTACCGAGGTCACCCTTAGGGAGAGGGACACCCGCCCCCCAGCACCTATCCTCTAATCTTAATCTATCATCTCTTTAGCACCCCTATGAGGTTACCCCCTGGATTATTTTCTCTTCTTTTGGGTCCTCCATTTTCTTTTCTCACTTTCTTCCTCCCTCCCCTTCCACTCTAGATCTGAGTCCCAAGCACTGGGTGAGTTTTAGGTGGTGTGGGTATGTGAAAAAACTTGGTCACCTAATGCCTGCTGTGTGTGGGGTCTGGGGAGGGTGTATAAAGCTGCCTGCTCTCCTTTGTCCCTTAATCAGCTACTTCTGTCTTTTTTCTCCTCCTGTGATAACTGCCCCTGACCTCCCAGCTTGCAGTTGTGAAGACTGTAGAGCAGTGACCTGATATTCTGTGCAGACGGGGACAGGACAGGGGAGTTTGCTAAGGATATAACTGTAGCTCTACCCTCTGGAAGTTCTCTTTGTACTGGAGGGGTGCGAAGTGGCAGGTTGGGATGACCCTAGTCCCAGGCTGCTGCTCTCACTTCCTTATAAGGACAGGACTGAGACTGGGCGGTGGCGAATTCCTGCCCTGAGAAGTGTAGTAGCAGCAGTGGAGATTGGCAGGTCTGCCGCAGGCAGAGGGGGGTGTGTAAATGTATGTTACCAGGCTGCCAGAGGGGGAGGAAGGCTCTATATAGGACACCTGAGTTGGGAGGAAGATAAATAGATCCCTCTTAAGTACACTTCGGTGTACAGTTTGGTGCAGATATCTGGTTTCCTCAGCATGATCAAAGTTGAATGGGCAGCAGGCTCTGAGGTAGGGTTTGGGTTAACCCTCAAATCCTGTGTTGACATTCATCTGAATCCTCAGAGTTCAAGGAGGCCTTCCAGCTGTTTGACCGAACAGGTGATGGCAAGATCCTGTACAGCCAGTGTGGGGACGTGATGAGGGCCCTGGGCCAGAACCCTACCAACGCCGAGGTGCTCAAGGTCCTGGGGAACCCCAAGAGTGATGGTGAGGGGCCTAAAGAACAACTCCTCAGTGTGGTCATGGGCCCACAGTTCTTCAGCTAAGAGCTTCCCCGGGCCCCAAACTCAAAAGTCTGGATTAGCAAATCCCATGGATTTCCCTGCTTAGGAGGGAGTCATCTCTCTGTTCAGTTGAGGTCTCTATTATCCCGTCCTGAGAACTTGTGTTACTTCTCTGGCCTGACACTTCCACCTCCTTTATGGCAGAGATGAACGTGAAGGTGCTGGACTTTGAGCACTTTCTGCCCATGCTGCAGACAGTGGCCAAGAACAAGGACCAGGGCACCTATGAGGATTATGTCGAAGGACTTCGGGTGTTTGACAAGGAAGGAAATGGCACCGTCATGGGTGCTGAAATCCGGCATGTTCTTGTCACACTGGGTAAGGTTCTGTGTCCTTGTCCTTGAGCTGAGATGCCACCCTGAATACCTCACTTGTCTCCCAATTCCAAAGATGCTTTCTTTCCCCCTGCAGGTGAGAAGATGACAGAGGAAGAAGTAGAGATGCTGGTGGCAGGGCACGAGGACAGCAATGGTTGTATCAACTATGAAGGTAAGGGGTGAACTGCGCTTTCGCAGCCACATGGGGCAGGTCAAGTATAGTGTTTGGGGCTTTCCCTATCCCTGGACGTGGGCTCCAAAAAGAGCCAGGAGGCAAGGTGCAGGGCCCTGCCCAGCCCAGCCCAGGAGTGGGAGGTCAGGGGGGTGTAACAGGAAAGGAAGGAGTAGTATTGTAGAGGGTGGGAAGGAATGAGAAGTGAAATAATGGAATGTCTGTCCCCACCGCCTGACCCCTCACCCCATGTCTGTGTCTTGTCTTCACCATGAATGTCTCTTCCTTCCTGCAGCGTTTGTGAGGCATATCCTGTCGGGGTGACGGGCCCATGGGGCGGGTACGGCTCCTCCCAGCCTCTCCTCTAGTTGATCTCCCCAGTGTTTCTTTTTTCCTCAACCTGTGCTCTTTATCCCCTGCCCTTACCCTACTACCATCTGACTTCCTCCTGGCATGTTTCTGCATGGAGCTGACTAGGGAGGGGAGGGAGTCCTCATAGAGGAATACAGCCTGGGGGTAAGGTACCTCCTTACTTCTAGAATGGGCCCTGAGGTTTTACTTATAGGGCCCTGGGTGCTGGTGTCTGGGAACTCTCACCAGCCTGTATACCAGTCTTGCTTTAGGGTGACCTTCTGGCCCTGGAGCATGGGTAGCTGGCATAGAGGGGTATGGGTTGCCTGCCCCATTCTGCTGCTATAGCTGAACAGTCCTTTCCCCTTCCCTCGCTGGGCAGCTTGGAGGTACCCTAACCCAAAACTCTTGTCCTCTCCTCCCGCCAATGGCTGACAGTAGCTGTAGGTGTAGTTGAGAACTTTTCTGCCTCTGCTGTGTTCTTGCTGCTCAGAGTGGGGTGGGGCACTAACAGCTGGTGGCAGGGGAGCTAGGGGCAGGGAGAACTGGTCAGACTCAAGGTGGCTCCTCTGCAAACTGACCCCAGGGTTGGTTGCTGTGGGCATGTTCCCTCTTATGCTACCTTTGCAGTCTTGTAGTCCCCTGGCCCTTGGTGTACCCCTCCACAAACCTGTTCCCTGGCTCATTCCACCTTTCCTTTCCACAGAGCTCGTCCGCATGGTGCTGAATGGCTGAGGACCCTCCCAGTCTCCCGACCGTGCCTTTCCCTGTGTGAATTTTGTATCTAGCCTGAAGTTTCCCTAGGCTCTCTTGTCTCAGCACCTTTCCCATCTTGTCTCTTGGATGATGTTTGCCGTCAGCATTCACCAAATAAACTTGCTCTCTGGGCCCTCGGTTCGGTTCTGCTTTCTTTCCTGAACAGGGTAAAGGGGAAGAAGGTGAGGTGGTGGTGATTTCTGCCCTGAGGCAGAGTCCAAGGTCAATGGTGCAGGGGTTGAGGAAAGCTGAGGAAGGAAGCCCCTGTACTAGCCATCTGGGCTTCATTTAAAAACTGCTGGCCCCATTCATCCATCTTACACAAGCTACCTCTTGGGAGATTAGGAAATCTCCTACCTAGATTGGTCCTACCTAAGATCCTGGTAGGACCAAGGCTGGCCATCCCTGTTCCATTCCATATCAGGCTGTCTTCTCCTAGCCTTCCAGCTCCTTAAATCTGGCCCCCGCCCTCCCAAGCTCCCAGTAAGGCCTTTTGTGGGGAAGCCTGTGGAGTGTTTATTGGAGCTAAAACCAGGCCATTATTAGCACTGCCTAAGCCTGTCCATCACCTCAGCAGGGCAAAGGGCCAATAACAACAAAAGGAGGTAAGGGGCTTGCCTCCTCCCTAATAAGGGAAGGAGTGAAACCACTACTTCTGAAGGGATAAAGATACAAAATTCCGTTATTGTGGGAATGTCCTTCCAAGTCTTAAACAGCTTTTAGGGCAGGTGAGAGCCTCTGCTCCTATACCAGCACATAGTCTTGACATCTGTGCTGCTGTTCGTGTTTTGTGGGGAGGCGCAGTGTCTGTAGGCCCTGTGGCTTGCATAATGTCTCTGCGGCCCACGTAAACGCCGCTGTGAAGGACTCCAGGAAAGCTGCTCCAATCCCAGTCCCCTGCCTGACAGCCACAGGTAAGAAGAACACAGAATGCACCCACAAGATGGAACTGAAAGCAAATTAATTTATAAAAAAAAAAAAAAAAAAAGAAAAAAGAAAAAAAAGAAAAAGAAAATTTACAGAAAACTTTGAACAGAAGAAAGGTGCTAAGACGCAGAGGGAGAGAAACACGGGGACATGAGGAACAAAGGGCCTGGTGGAAGGAACCAAGAAGAACCAGTGCAGAGCCTGGAGGCACACCTGCCTTCCAGTCACAGGGGAGGAGCTGGGACGTGGAGCAGGAATGCAGGAAGCAGAGTTGAGCTCCGAGCCAAGGGTTGGTCCAGCCCAAGGTTGGGCACCCTCTTCCACTGCTCCCAAATCCCTGCATCCTCATCTGGGGAGCCCCCAGCTATCAGCTGAAGTTCTCACAGTCTTGGTGGGAGAGGGAGGAGGCTAAGGGGTGACCCACCAAGTCATAATAAGGAGGTGCTTAAGTGCTTTAAAAAACAATTTCAGGTTTTAAAACTTCGCATCCTCTTACAGCTCCCTTCTCTGCGCCTTCCAGGAGTCCATGGATACAGCCCAGGGAAGGAAGGAGAACAGCCCCCACTGCCCTTTCTTCTATTACCTACCACAGAAATCCCCGAAATTAGGTTTTCCCCACCAAATACACATACGCTGACATCAACTAAGCAGGTGACTTTTAAAAACAAAACTGACATTCAGAGGGAAAGGAATCATTGGCTGAGCTGGGGTGGCCTAAAACAGCAACAATGAGGAAGCCGCAGGAGGGATCATTAGTACGAATAAACTCGAATAAGCTCAGTGTAGGGTGGGCTAGGGGAGCTGGGGCCTTGACTCAGTCACTAAAAAGGGGCTTGGGGAGAGACAGAATCTGCACCCTGTTCTATCCCCAGAGCTCTCCCTGGAATTTTAATTCCCCTTTCCTAAAACTCACTCCCCCTCAAAAAATGTAAAAATTGGTTATTTTTTAGTGGGTAGAAGGGAGCTCCAATGTGGCTTTTTAAAATCTACTCTTTTTTTTTTTTTTTAATCCATAGAAAATGCAGTAGTTTGGAGGGAGGTGTACCCTTAGAAGTGGTTAATAGAACCTTGTATAAACACCTTTCACCAGCCCTTCCTTTAGGGCAGCATTCCCATCCTATCCTCTCTCCCAGACATTAGAAACATCTTTTAAACAGAAGTCCTTGAATAATCTGATATAAAAATGCATGCCTCTGTTAGGCATGGTGAGGGCTTTGGAGGGGCGGAAGGAGCTTTCCTTACGTAGTGATGAACTCTCCAGGCTGGGGAGGGTCCCAGTGGTGGGGGAAGGGCTGTTCCTGGAACCGTGATCTCCAGAGGGGGTGAGGGGGAGAGATGTCTGGCTGGCTCCTCACTGTGGAGGTGGCACAGGGGTGACCGTGCCTGGGCTCGGGGCTGTGGGGTCTGGAGGCAGGGGGGTGCCTGGGTCTGTGGAGAAAAGTAAGATGAATCAGTTAGAGTGCGCAGGAGAGAGGGCTCCAGACCCAGACCAATACAGACAGAACCGGGCATGGCATGCAGTGGTTGGGTGGATGAATGAGGTACCCACAATGTTCAACTTCTGTTCCCAACACCCTCTTCTACCTCATACTGAGAAAAACTGATAGAAAGGAGACTCTCTAAATGGGGCATCTGAACGTGATAGGAATAAGCAAAGGGATGACAATCATCATGCAAACAGCTGCTTTTCAAGTTTACAACTGAGATGCTCTCTGCCACAGGATTGCTCCATGACCCACCAGTGAAAGGCCCCAATACCATCCCAAAGGTGGCAGCTGCCAGGCTGGGGACTGGTGGAGGACAGCCAGAGAGGCCTTTCCTCCTGTATTCTAATTTTACCAGAGTGTTCAAAAAAGACTGTGGAAAGTCTAGTACCTGACCTCTTCCCCCACCTGCCCGCTCACCCTCCCTCCATGTGGACCCCTCTCCCTCACCCTTCTCCCCTCTTGGCCCCTTCTCACCTGGCAGTGGGCTGGCACTGGGCAGGAGGTTGCCCTGAACAGCTGCCACAATGGCAGGGCTTTGGGCTGCGGCGGATCCGAGCCCCGGCCCGAGAGGCAAGGAAGATGGCATGGTGGTGGTCGCCGGCAGGTTAGGATGTAGAGGGTTCGCCATGGACACAGGCAGGTTAGGTGGGGGGAGAGTGCCCGGGGCGAATGGGAGATGGTGGTGATGCCCATGCAGGTTAGGAGGAGGGGGGAGGTTAATACTGATGGAGTCAGCTAGACTACCAAATGGGATGATGGATGGAGCAGGAGGAGGAGGAGGAGGCGGCATGCCAAAAGGCAAACCCAAAGGAGCATTACCCGCCACGCCTGGGTGCCCGCTGCCTGGCACTGCCCCTGGCATCATTGAGGGAGGAGTTTGTTGGTTGGGGAACGGTGAGGGGCCTAAGAATAAAGATGAGAGATGGAGAAAGTTAGGTATAAAATGTTGCTTAACAACTCGCCTTTTCTTTTTT